TTTGTAAGTTTTCTGTTTAGTATATCCCTGTGCAACTCAGTTAAAGGCTTTAGCTTAGACTCAACTTTGTATTCCTTGGAAGGTGAAATACTTGCGTATTGTGATCACTGTCAATCGTGTATTGCCGCCATGCAAATAAATAGGATTTGTTTTCTTAGGAAGTGAGGCAACACATCTGCACCGGCTGCAGACGCACGTGCACATGCACAGACCACACACACACGTGCGTACACACAGACACACAAAATCTTTTCAAACACAAGTAGAGGTCTCTAATAAAACTTTGGTGACAGACATGAAGCACTCAGAAGAATTCTCAGTAATCCAAAGATTCTTGCTGTGAGCCCCAGATGAAAGAGCCTGTACTGGAGGTGGGGGGTCTGGGGCTTAGGAGCGTTCAGAGGCAGGAGGAGTGCAGGTCTCTCTAACACTGTGGACGAGTCTCTGTTGTCTTCCCCTTGTTCACTTCCCCTCACCTTCGTCTATTCTTTTCTCCCCATACCTACTTCTAGTTTTTTTCAAAACTGCAAATTCACTATTGCCACCGACCACCATGCTACAAGCTGCAAAACCTTTCAGCGAGACACGTCTCCAACCAATGCTTCAATGACTTACAAGTCAAAGGTGCGGAGGTAATGCTGACAGATATGATGAAATCAGTGGTTGTGAACATTTTTTAGAAATTCTGTGAGATGGCTTTGAAATGTCATCAATGCCTCATCTACGTGAAATATTATTTTAAAAGTCTCTTCAGAAGTCTTTAATTTAACCATCTTTACAAATAGTTTTAGTAAAGAGAAAAACAACACTGCCATCACCCTACCTCTCCGACATTACTGAAGTAGTATTTAGCTTCCAGAAGGTTATAAAGAGGAGACTCAAGACTATTATGTGTGGAGATTGCAAAGGAACCAGTCTGAGGGCAGAGTGGTGTCTCCCTCATCTGAACGTCTGTCAGCAGCTATGGAGATGTTGTAAATGATAAGCAGTCACGTCAATTGAGGAATCAAAAGAGAAAATAAGTCTATCAGCTTTAAAGAAAAAAATTGCTAGTAACTTCAATTCTAATATAGATTACCATAAAATAAATTACTATAAATTATAAAGTACTGAGTGGTTTTCTATTTTCATATGTGGTTGCATACAACTATTTATGGATTATTCCCTGTTGAGCCCTCGGGGATCAACAACTGCAGAGGTGCTAAAAGGGACAGCAGCCTCATCCAGTGGGAGCCGTGACAGTACAGTAAACCCTCGATTTTGCTGATCTCGATTTAACAGGCTTCAGATTTTAACAGACTTCAGATTTAGAACAAAATTTATGGTCTGTATGTCATATGTGAAAATTAATACCCTGTTAATTTTAAAACGCTTTTAACCAAGATTTGTTTACAGTTAAATTAACAGGATATTTTTTATTAATTCATTGTTATTTTTAACAAATTTTAAGCAAATAGGCCGGAAAAAAAACTGTAGTCATTTCGCCAACATAAATAAATATTACATATCTACAACTATAGTCAACATATTTAAATCCCAGAGTCACCCCGCGTAAACAATGTTCAGGGAATGATCAGCACATGGTCACACCACAGGGCAGGGTAACTGATTCTATTGTCATGTCACATGACTTCTGCACCAGTTTTAACACGTGGGGCCAATGTCCCACGTGTGCTAAGGGCTAAAACCACGCCCCAGCCGCGTGCATTTGTTTACTTGAGGTGACTGGTGAATGTTCGAATTTATTAGACCTATTCAGTATAAATTAAAAATTACTGTAATACATGTAGATATCTTTTCTGTGAAATTAAACTTTTCATACATACTTAATATTAATTACACAAACGCGTCTACATAAGTAAAAACAGGTAAACTAACTTGTCAATTTTTTTAACATACACATTCGGAAAACCTACCTTATTATGTAACAGACCTTCGGCTTGAACAGATACCCCTCCTGCCCGAATTAGTCCGTTACATCGAGGTTTTACTGTACTTATTACTCATCGAGTGCTCCTTTGTGTCAGGCACCGTTCAGAGAATTTTACAGGTGTTATTTCATTTAGTTTTTGTAAAAATCTTTTGAGGTAAGAATGATAATTATTTGTATTTTAAACACAAGGAAACTGAGGCGCAGAGAAGGTGAGTGACTTTCTCACGGTCACCAGGGAGTGTGAGGCAGAGCTAGAATTCAGACCTGACACTGAGTCGAGCCCATGCCACAGGCTGGCGCTGCCTCTGGAAGGTGACACAGCTCAACACGCTGAAGGTGAGGCCCGCTGTATTTCTTTTATTTCTTTATTTCTTATTAAACTAAAAGGAGGGAAGCATGAGGTATATCAGGGGTTGTATTTTATGTAAAAAATACAGTAACCTTAGTTTTTGACATTGGAGAGAAACTAAAACATCACAAATAGATATGATCACAGTATATTTTGAAAATTCTGACTTTCGTATATTAAGTAAGGCCTTTCTTTTTTAATGGTAAGTCTGTAATGCCCCTGAGTAATTTCTGTACAGAGGCGATACGGCTCCCAGGATGTTCAAGCACAGCTATATTAACGCCCCGACGCTCGGCGGCGCGGGTCGGCCTGCGGCCTGCTGTCCTGCTGGCCTGCTGTCCTGCTGGCCTGCTGTCCTGAGGCACTCTGCCGGGCTTTCGCCCTGTGGGCGCCGATGTAAAGGGGCCAGTGGCCGGAGGAGCCTGTTCCCACGGGCAGCCTGCCTGCGGGGCTGGTGGCACGAGGCTGGACTCCCGCTTAGCGGCTTAAAACTTCCCCGAGTGTTTTACACCGACCATGATTCAGTCATGAAACAACTGACTTCTTCCTACTCCCTGGAAAAGGTCGACTAAGTTGGTCTACGTGTGGGGGACACGCATGGCCTCCAAGGGCCTATTAGCGACCTGGGGTGGCCGCCCCAGTGTGTTTCCTGGAAAGCGCCCCGCGCCATGGCCCGCACGCGGGAGCGGGCAGCTCACCTCAAGGACAAGGGGCTGGTGCCANCCGTGGCCCGCACGCGGGAGCGGGCAGCTCGCCTCAAGGACAAGGGGCTGGTGCTGGAGGCTGGGACCACTGGCCCTGCGCATAGGGGGGTACAGGAGCCCCCCTCGGGCCCCTTCCTGCCAGTCAAAGGCAAAGTGTATCTGCAGCGTTTTCATTTTCACAGCCTTCCTTGAGAAGGTTCCAAGGGGCCTCTACGTCTAGGGGCTGCTTCTCAAGTTCATTTGGGGAGAAATTATATGCCTGCAAATTTCTTCTCTGAAAATATTTAAATAAACTAATGACTAATACCCAGTTACTTCATTAACATCTACCAAACAGGTTTCCAAGCTATCTTATTTTTCCCCATTAAAATTTGTTGGTTTAGAAAAAGGCACGTTTTTTTTTTTTGTTGTTGTTGTTTTTAAAGCTAATGAAAAAAAACCTGGCTATCTATTTAAAAGACACCAATATGTTCTTCATTCTAATATAGCAAATTTCTGGCAAACCCAGCATATTCTGCCTATCTTTTCCAGATAGCTCCTACAAAGTAGTCAAACTAGAAATGCTGTCTACAGTGTTGGTTGAGAGACAATATATTTCTAGAGCAAGCGAGAATATAAAAAAGCAGCATACTTGGGTCATGAATTGTATCTTGGCACTGGGCCTTTGAATTACATTAAAAAATACTGCAAGCACAGCCTTTCAAAGTCTGTTATTACATTTACTCTAAGGATATTATAAGATGACTGACTGTTCACTAGATCATTCAGTGGTCCTCGTTTAAAATCCTGGAGACAAATTTCCTTCATATTAAGTGCTAGGACAAGCTTTCCTCCTCTTTAAAGAGCTGGTATTCTTCCCCCCCTTAAGGATAACCATTTAGCTCAGTGTTTCTCAGCAGGGTGTTATGGCATTTTGGGCAAAACAATTCTTGGCAAATGGGATGTCCCCCTCCCCACAGAGCCATTTAGCATCCCTGGCCTCCAGACATTAATGCCAGTTGGGCACTCAGTCACTGTGACCACCCAAACTGCCCACACACATTTTCAAATGCACTAGTTGAGAACACACTAAATAAATTGTTTACTTCCTTTGTTTTGTCTACCAGGCCACTCAATCAGATTTGTCCTTAAAAATTATTTGGGTAAGAACATTATGTCCTATATATCTGCATTCTAACTTTCTCCCACTCTTGAACTTCCAGTATAATTTACATTTCCCTTGGTCCTGAGTTTCACTTTCTATTCCGATTTTATTGTTAAGACAACCCAAATGCTTTGTGGAGCCTGATGGGGTACAAATAAATGAAGATAGCTTGGCAGTTCAGAGGCACTTTCCCCTTCCTTCTTAAAAGTGATGTTAACTTGAAACAAAGTGCCAGTGTTTTATACAGTTGCAGTTTTAACTCCTACAGACAAAGTGGCAGAAAAACCGCTCCTCAGACACTTAGTGCTTAGGAATTAATAAAGGAAAATAAGCCAAAAAGAAGAAAATATTTTTTGAAACCTTTGATGAAAGTGACTATGTGTAAATAAATATCATGTTTATATAAAGCTTTATTTCTATATAACAGCAATTTTAAATGAGAAGAGTCCATAGACAGTAGTTATTACCTTTAACATTATAAACATCCTTTCACTAAAAAATTAAATTCTATATGAAGCTAGTTTTTGCGTGTTTTCATTCTAAATGAAAAATTTTGGAGGAAACCTAGTTTTAGTTCTGATTTAACTGCATGATTCCTTCAGATTCCTCATTTTTTGGCAAACTTTTATTGAGGGAAACGAATAAGTAACTCAGAACTTTCAGACATTTAGACACTGATTTGTCTTTTACTATAAAACATCTTCAGTGACTACAGTGCCTCAGATAATGTTCTGTTTTTTACACTTATTTGTACGTCACTTATAATCTTAGTAGCTACTTTTGAGAGGGAACTTAGAGAAGAGCTTATTGAGCAACTTCTTGGAAAATGAGATAAAAGCTAACGATGACATGAGGCCACATGCTTCTTACCTTAGAAGTGCAAACGGCTATATTAGCAGGAAGCTGGGAAAACTGCTTCAGTTCAAATACCTCACGTGCTGCCCACCGGCTCAGGTGGTTCTCGGCTTTGCTCGATCCGATCACCTTCTGGTTTGAGTGGATGTAAGCCACTTCCTGAACCCCATCTAGGAGGCAATCGATGTTTTGTTTTTAATCCTCAAGAAAAACATCCAGTTTGTCTGTTAACATCATTATGGTCTTTTAAAAAATTTAAAAGAGTTTAAATATGTTGATCTATGTTAATTGGAAAGGACTTTCCACTCTCATCGATATGAGAACTTCTAAGATTAGTCTTTTTAGACTTAAACCTGAAATGACAGTTTTGGCCAAAGAAAAGTCATGGTGAAGGGTGTTTCTATGAATTTGTTGTTCCAGTTGATTTTAAAAAAGTTTACTAATTTAAAGAGCAGCACTAGCCTCATCTGTCCCTTTACACACGCACCCGATTACCGTGATGAAGTGGGAACAAGGGGTTCATGACCAGGGAGCGTCCTTTGGTTGGCTTTGTTCAGTTTTACTGTTTGGATTCTGTCTTTTTTGTACATATGCCCAGAGAATGTCAAGATTGGAAGCTTTTTAGGAAAGGAAAAAAATTAACTTACAGCTTTTATCTAAAAGAAGTTTAAAAAATGGCTACATTTTTTATTGCTTTGCTTCTAGGCATCTAGAATTTACTTTTAAACTGTGTTCATAAAAGAGAAGGACAGGACTAAGGTCTGTAGAAGCTCCCTCAGACAGGTCTGATTATGACCTTCAGCACTTGTGCTGTTTCAGTCCTGAACCTCTCGACCGGGCTTGCCAATCATGCGAAAACAAGATGCTAAATAAGATGGCTGGAAGGGCAACTACGATAATATTGGTCCTTAAGTTCCAAAGCACCAGGGAGTGCATATGGCAACAGTTTAAAACCTTCAGAAGGATTCTTCTGGTAGGACATTTACTCAGATTTTTCTTAATTTTGATGATACATTTTTGCCTTACTCAAAATTACATTAGTTCCACACTAACTATTGACACTTTCAGACAGTAAAAAACAAAAAAAATACTCATCTGATTTTTAAAAAATGGTTTATGAAATAATCCCTCAAACCTAACATCCAATTGTAGCACACAAACCAAAGGATAGTCCAGTCCTTAGTTACAGGGGTATCAAAATATGTATCATCACGAACTTTTAAATGAGACCACTAATAACTGTCAAAGAAAGCTTGATTTGCAGACAGGTTAATACCACGCTGAAGCTTCTGTATCACTGTATCCTTGCTTATATACTGGCTTCTTTCATACAGTTTTTTTGGGAATGAATAAGACCATTTTGAATTAACTCTTAAAATCACTGAACAGAGCCTCGGCAGGTGGTGGTGGCAGGGGCAGCAGGTCTTCAGTGAATCCCTACGTGAGAAGGGACAGCAACCAGAGGGCACATGCCACGGGGAGCACCTGCGAGATCAGATGACAAGATACCCCCAGGAGCCCTAAAACACAAGCAAGCGGGAAACCCCCATAGCTGCACCCTCGGCATGGACCAGGGGGTGCGGGAGGGAAGCAGCAGAACGCATGGGGCAGATCGAAGAACAGGAGGCCGACAGGTATTCACTGGGAACAAACGGGCCAGCTGGAGGTAGCAGCGGGCTGAGGGGTGCCCGGGGCTGAGGTGAGAGAGCCCCAGGGCTGGAGCCGGAGAGGCCTGAACTTCCCAAACCGGCCCCCAGGGCTTCTGGGTCAGGGCCGCACAATGAGGAGAAACTGCCCGGAGGAGTGAAAGTGAGCAGGACAGAAGGAACAGGAACAGGCACAGGGAGAGAGCAGGTCCGGAGCGAAGCCCAGAGCGGGACACAGACTGGAAGTCCCACCACTTCTGAACACCATACAGTATAGAGATCACAGATGCAGGCCTTTGTGAAGTTACAAAAAACTTCTACTCTGCCTCATTTAAAAACTCGGGGGAACAGTTTTGTAAGAATAAGCAAGATCTCATAAAAATTATTCTGAGAGAGAGGAGGCTGTAGGTTTTACCCCTACAATGAAAATATGCCAGGTCTATGTGCTAACAAAGCAAATGAAAATCATAACCGGTTTCAAAATGAGGTAAAAGACTTCAGGAAAATGATAAAACACAGGAACCAACAACATAAATTGGAATCAAAACAACTTAGAAATAAGTGGCAGGACTCAGGAAAAACTTAGGAATTTAAAAAATATTTCAGAAACAATGATTAAACTAGAAGGAACATAAGATGGAATGAACACAACAGATAAACAAACAAACAAAAAAATGAAAACGGGTTTAGGGAATGTGACAAACTCTGAGAAGAATGAGCGTTTGAACAACAGGAGTCCCTGAAAGAAGAAAGCCACGCAAAGAAATAAAACAACTAAAAACACTGGCTCAAGAATGTTTACCTAAAGTAAAAACCAAGTTGAAACTATACATTAGAAAACTGACCCAGAACACCCAACACCGCTAGGGACTGAACCCTTGTCTCCCCACAATTCACATGTCAAAGAGCTAACCCCACTGTGATGGGACCTGCAGTTGGACCTTTGGGAGACAGTCAGGTCATGAGGGTGGGGCCCTCGTGAATGGGATTAGTGCCCTTGTAAGAAGAGACAGGAGAGAGATGGTTTCTCTCGCCACCGTGTGAGGACACAGCAAGAAGAGGGACATCTGTAGGCAGGAAAAGGGCCCTAAACAAGAACCTAACCATGCTGGCATCATGGTCTTAGACACCCAGACTTTAGAATTGTAAGAAATAAACGGTAAGCCCCCCAGTCTATGGAAATTTATCATAGCAGCCGAGTTGATTAAGACAAACACCAAAACACAACCTTGTGAAATGACTGGACAATAATGAAAAGAAAAAAACAAAAATGCTTTGAGCATCTAGGAAAACAAACAAACACATAACACAACACTTCATGCCAGAAGAAAATAAAGCTACATATTTTAAATACTTTAGAAAGTGTGAGCCATGCATTTTATATCTAGCAAAAACGATTTTTTAAGTAAAAAGGGCACAAACTGTTATCAACAAGAGTCTCAGGGAATATTATTCTCACAAGCACTTCCTCAGGGATCTGCTGGAAAATAGGCTAGGAAAGCCAGAATGACTTGAGAAACACTGGTGTAAGGACTAAATTTATAGTTACCTGCAAACCAAGGATAAATTAAGTCCAAGAGGGGAGACTATAATAATGCAATGTCTGCATGTTCCGACACCGGAGACATAGTATATCCATTTTAAAAAGAGGAAGAAATGGGAGAGCACGTTTCCAGAAATCATAGTATAGCAGTATTGGTATTTTTACTTTGATGACTTTTATATAATATGAGATAAAACAAATGAGTAATTATGGGACATTATAATTAAATCATTCCCTACATGCTTAAGGACCAGAATTAACATTACAGAGGAAATGGTATACAAATGTAATATAGAAGATGTTTAGTAAAAGCTCTATAGTCTCAAATTATCTCTATAAATATGGAAGTACCAATATAAACTATGAAGTATTTAGTCGTCATATATAAAAATACATATATGTACGTAAATATGTATATAAATATATAAATACATGTAAGTATAAATGCATACACATATACACATAAATATAAACATATGTATATAAATATGTGTGTATATATGTACATGCATATAATGTCCACTGAAAAGGCCCAGAAATAATAACCAAGCTAGTAGCAGCAATGATCATCCCTAGAATAAGACTGAGGTCTTGAAACATATTTTCTCACTAAAAGAAACCAAAGCTTCTTATCTGGGGCAATAAATGTATGAGATGGTCCTGGAACATTTTTTGTTTTAATCCTCAGCTGAGGATATTTTTTCCATTGTTTTCAAAGAGTGGAAAGGAGAGAGAGATGCGTTGATTGGTTACCTCCTGCACGCACCCCGACCAGGCCGGGGGTTGAGCCTACAACCGAGGTATGTGCCCTTGGCTGGAATTGAACCTGGAACCCATCAGCTCGCAGTCAGGTGCTCTAACCACTGAACCAAACTGGCCAGGGTGATCCTGGAACATTCTGTAGTATAAGAGAGCAATCTAAGATGACAAGCATCGTGTCCGAGGGTCTCAGAAACCGAAGTGCTCATTTAAAGACTCCCACTGTCCAAAGATGAGACAATTGAGCCTCATAATGATATTAATTGCAATGGATTGAGACCCATTAAATGTGTTTGAATCAATTAATTCATAATGATTTTTAGAAAGATCATCCCCTCTAGGGGATAAATTTATTATACTAAAAATTGGTAAAGAAAGGAATTAAGTATTTTCCCTACCTTCTATATAATAACTATACCACTAGGTAACAGTAGATGTAAGTATCTCCTTATAGAAGCATTCTAACTAACAAATAAAAGGGAAATGAGAGAAGTAGAAAATGTCATTTTGTTACTCTGAATGAATAAACAGTTATAGGCATTAAGCACCAATGGCTGTCAAGATAATAAAGAGAGACCAGCAAATATTTTGTGCCTCCCATAGTCTTGCCAAACACTAACTTTTGTCTTGTCGAAGGATTGAACCTCAGTTGATACAGTCTCAGATACAGCTCATTTGCAGGAAATACAGAGGGCAGAGATATATGTTCAACTGCACCGAGAGAACACAATTAGCAAAATTCAAATTGAGGAAAACTCTATAGATGGCTCAGGTAAAGCAACAGATAAATCATAAGGAAATGGAAGGGATGATAGAGGAAAGCCATAAAATAAGAGAGATTATATAAAGTACATTTAAAAAAATAAGACCAAAGTATGTCTAGGGATACACACTTGTGTAATAAAATCATAAAAATGAAAAAAAAAGTAATTACTATAAAAGTTAGAATAATTAGCATTTATGGGGGTGAATGAGACTGTGACTCAGATGGGGCATATCTAGGGGTCCTGGGGGGCAGCGGGTGACCAAGTTCTCTATCTTGACTTAGGTCGTCTTCCCTTTATCCTGCCCCCCACCCACTTCCTCACTTGTGCCTCAATGTAGCATTTTCACTGGAGACAGCTAATTCAAGAATCTCTTACAGAACTATGTGATTTCACAAAATAAATAAGAAAAGTTTTCCAAAAGTATCTGTAGTTACCTAAAAATTTATCCATTGATTCATATATCTGCTCTTGATTGACAACAAACTCATTTGAAAATTTCACTGGTTTTCTTGGGACGAAAGTGCTATTTTCCTTATGGCCGGGTAATTTCAGAGAGAAACCAATTCCATCTTTAACAGCTTTTGGTCTACGTCTCTGTTGAGAGAAGCCTACGTGGCTAACAGAAGAATTGTCGTCGTCGGATGAAAATTCATCAATAGCCTGGGAGCCACAACATTCACCTGTTGCGTTCAGCTGGTTTGCTCCCTTCATTGTTTTAGAAAAAGTGTCAAGTTCCCTTTTATTTTTCTTTTTTCTCTTGAACCTCAAAGAACTAGTAGATCTTTGTTTTCTTACCATGGGCTTGGAGGAAATGTCAATGTCATCGGACTCATCGCTAATATCACTACCACCTTTTCTTTTCATAATAGATTTCAGGGTTGCATCCTTAGGATTTAATTGTTTTGAAACTAGTCCACTTCTTCTGACATCGGTTTTTCTATCATCGCCATTGTTTGTTATGTTTACAAGGTCTTCTGTTTCAGAATCTTCAGATCTGTCCCCGGGTGGCTTAAACTTTACACTACTCTGAGGGAATTTCTGAGCTGTATATTGTGTGGGAAGGATGACATCACTGTCTTCTGATTCTGTGGCATTCTGTAAAATGCAATGCTGGTCAGTTGTATTTGTAAAATCTTTGTTATCATCAGACTCAGAAGAAACAGTCTGCTCTAAAATCTTTTCACTTTTATCAAATATACATTTTTCATCTGGATTTGGGATGTCAGCTGACTTCTGTTTGGAAGCACCACGAGAGGCTTGAGTTTTCTGACAACCAACATCTTTGGCTTCTGCTGAAAGGCACGTGGGCTGTTCATCAGGACTTTCATCATCAGATGCAGTATTTTCATCACTATCATCAACTGCTTTACATTTTGTCTCGAGCAATTTGGAGAAACCACACTGGAGTAAGGAAAGCTGTCCAGAACTGGAAGCTTTACTTGAGTCAGATGCTTTGCCTTTAGCTGACTTTACTCTTGAGTTGTCCACGGATTCTTCATCACTGAGATCACTGCATAGACCACCTGCTTCTTTGGCCAGTGGTTCTGCAGGTTGTTCTGCACCCCTGTGCTCTTGACAGTCAGGCTCTCTAGGCTATGTAAGAAGCAATGACAGAAATATTAGGAAATGTCAAGATAATGACATCGAATCTATCGTACTGGGAAGGAATTAAACTTGGGCAGATAATTTGTACAAGTATATTATGTGGTATTTTGTAGAAGTACATTTAATAAACAAATGTAAAGGATTTAATATTATAGTCTGGTACATTCTTTTCATTTTAAAATGCTTTTATTGATTTTTTTTGAGAGAGAGAGGGAAGGAGAGGGAGAGAGAGATAGAAACATCAATGATGATAGAGAATCATCATTTGGTACCTCCTGCACGCTGCCTACTGGGGATGGAGCCCGAAACCTGGGCATGTGCCCACAGGGAATCAAGTTGGCGACCTCTTGGTGCATGGGTCAACACTCATACTTCTGCCAACATTTGACATTCATATATTTCTAAAAATTTTAAAAAATATTTCCCCTATATTCCAAATCATTGGGCCAGTATATATATATATCCCTAAAAACAAACAAGAAAAAACCAATAATAATTAAAAAAAAAATCTCCTACACATATTCTTTACTTTTAAAAAGGTCCTTTGATAACAAATATAGATATTTGTAGTATGTGAGATGACAAACTACTAAAAAGATTATAAGATCAAGGACTCAAAATATCTGTTTAAGTAAGAGAATAATTTTGCTGTCTGGATTTAATGATATTAAATACGCAGATTGCTGTTTTCCCATTTAATTTGTTGTCTAGTAAAAATTATTTTAATTTGGACTAGTCACCTGTCCAGTGTATTTAATTTTGAACTTATAGTTTGGGATAGTTATAATTCCAGCCTAGATATAAATGCCTGATGAGTGCTCCTGAATTTGTTCTGATATAAAATGTTAAATTAGTCTAAATTATTTATTTTACTGACAGTACTCTGACTTTGTGTCCTTGACTTTTTTTGAAAGACATTTTTTTTTTACACATTGAAAAATGAAGGCGAAAGGGAAGTAAACTTAAAATTGTCACAGTACATGTTTTCTGTCAGAGTTCTGGGCTACAGATTCAAAAATTGCTTACTGTTTCTGGTTTGTGTTCTTGAGGTTCCTCTTTCAACCATGTTGTGGCTGTCATGACCCCTGCTTCCACTTGACCTTCTCTCTGTAAAGAACGTAAATAACTGTATTATATATGGGGCAAAAAACACCCAGATAAACAATAGCAATGGCATGCTAAAACTTGGCACTAAGAGAAAAACTGAGTGTGGCTTGCTTTATTTAGCTCTCTTATTGTTATTTTTCAATGTGCTAATTAAGGAACTCATATACACTTTATATAACACTTTAAAATACTCTTAATTCTTAGGCAGTGGAGTGGCACAGTGAGGCATGCTAAGCCCGTAATACTCTTATTACTTGATTTAAAGATTACTTTTTCAGATAGAAAACTAATATCACTTTTCAGCCAACTCTATTAAATGCTCTAGTAGGTGAGGGAGGGTGGAAAATCATTATATATATACACAGAGTAATAATTCCATAATAACAATGTCTATATAATAATTATAGTAAGGACATACTGTCTACATTTCAAACAGCACGGATAATGTTGAGTATTGAGAACTTGATATTCTGCTCTATCTTGCCAGTGTATTTATTGTTCAGATTTATTAAAATGTTCATTGATTCCTTAGGTGCTGTAGACCTCAAAATGAAAAGGCCCATCCTAAACTAAAAAAGTCTTAATTATATAACAGGTTTTCTACATCTTTTGGGAAAGTATTTATGTGTTTAAAGCTTTTGGTATATCATTTAGCAGATGTAATTAATTTCCTTAATTCTAGAATATTAAATTTTCCTTCAAAAGGAAATTAATATATTTCTCTTTTTAAGGTTTTATTTGTTGGTAGAACATGGGGAAATGATACTACCATCCCCAGAGTTACAAATGTCCAATTTATGAATACACAGACATACCGACGTCCTGGTTCCAGCCACCTGGTATCCAAGGCAGCAAGTGAGAATTTCCCCTACAGATCTTTAGAGAATGACAAACAGTTTCTAAATTGCCACACTTTTTCTCCCAACGCCTAGAGATTATTACTGCAAGGGAGTGGGGAGCCTCCCTCTCAGGACTGCCTTTTATCTTTTCAACAGGTGCTAAAAGGCTCCAACAGATCCAACTGGCAGAACCAGGAACCCCGCAAGTAATCAGAACCCCTTTGTGGCAGGTAACAGGCACCTGGGAGTCATCATTAACTCTCTCTCTCCCACCCCTGATCCGTCACCACTCTCACCCTGGCCCAAACCACTATCATCTCTTGGCTGGATTCTTGCGGGATCCTCCTACCTCACCTCTTGCTTCTACTCTTGTACTTTTACTGTCTGATTCGCCTCGCCTCGCCTCGCCTCGCCCTCGCCCTCGCCCTCGCCCTCGCCCTCGCCTCGCCTCCTGGGCTTTGCAGGTGCCCCTGTTTCAATCCCATCTCCCTCCCTGTCTCCTCAAAGGATCAAGCTCTTCCTTGGCCGCTCCGTTTACAACTGAAATGCTGTTTCCTTGACAGTCTCCCTGTTCCCCTTCCCGCTCTCATTTTTTTTATTGAGGTACAATTTACATATAACACGATACATTTACGGTGTACAACATGTTGATTCGATACATTTATACTGCAATACAATTACCACTGAAGCTTCAGCGAGCACCTCTATCATGTCGCATAATGACCACTTTTTTGTGTGGGGAGAACATTTACGCTCTGGTCCCTTGGCAATTTTGAAGTATACAATATTGTTGACTATAACCACTATGCTGTGCATCAGACCTCAGGACTTACTCGTCTCCTACCTGCTCTCCTTCATGATATGCTCTAGGCTTCACTTATTTTTTTCTGCTTATTATTTGTCCCTTTGCCCCCCCTCCCCAAATAGAATGTACATTTTTTATAGGCAGGATTTTTTTGGTGTATTTTATTCATTTCTGTATACCTAGCTCTATGAATAGTGCCTGACATTTAGTCTATACTCAATAAACATTTGTGAAATAAACTCTCAATATCTAATTCTAAAGAGAAATTATGATATAGATTTTAAAAATCAATGAAAAAATATAACTAAATTGCTTAGAAATTATCATATTAAAAATGTTCTCTAAGTTCTACATCTTCTACAACTTACGACATTTTAAAAGGAATTTATTTACTACAGCCTTTAAAAATTAAAATGTACCACAGGAAGTGAAATTCTTCTTTTACATTATGACACTTACTTTCATCATATGTGGAATCTAAAGAACTTAATAAACTGATGAACAAAACAGAGTCAGTGACATGGAAGCATGAGTCAGCCTGACGAATCTCGGGAAGGTGGGGATGGGTGGG